ATAAAACCAGAAATTTCTCAGCTAAATAAAAAAAGCTCTCAGACTCTAAGAGATCAAGTAAAGTTGGTTCAAAGATAGGATCAAATCTAAAAGGCCTTGTTGAAGTGGGAAGTGACCCACCGGTGAAGAAGAAAACACCACTGGTGCAACTGTTCACTAGAATTAAAGCAACTCCAACAAATACCAGTTCCACCAATGCAATAGAAATCACCACCAATGGAACTGCTTACTCGAATTAAAGTACATCAGTCCAATATCTAGTTCAAGCAGTGTAACAGAAAATTAAAATGGTGCAATCATGCACTATTATAAATTAACTTCTATGCTCTAAAAACAAACTTCATAATATCACGTGTACTCATCAACTCTGTTACGTGGATTCTCCTATTTCTCTTCATGTACCTATTTCGACACGAAACAACTAGGATATTGGTATAGGATATGTATATGACACATGAACCCAAATTGAACACCTGTTGAATACATATTCCCTGCATTCTACGATTTGGGTTTAGAGGTGTCCATCACTTACACATAGTGATAGAGCCTGGAATTTTTTTCCTTTTTGGGGGGGGGGGGGGGGGGGGGCATATTGAACATGATAGAGTAATATATACATATCTATTTGAACTAACATGACAACTGACAATACAACAAGACAGTAATTTGAAAAATAGAGTGCAATAACAGTGCATTAATCAAGTTTCCAATAGTATGTCATTATTCACTAAAAATTATAGTAAAGAAAGTGCATAAAATTGCAATAATAAATTTAAATAAGAAGAGGAAAAATAAAAATAAATAAAAAATAAAAAAATAAAGATTAAAGCACATACATCATACATGAGTGCAACAAGAAGAATTTTAAGAAAATAAAAAACAAACAAAAGAAAAGAAGACGACGAAAAAGGAAAAGAAAAGAAAAATGAAAGAACTTTGAAGGCAAAAGAAATAGAGCCTAATTGAAGAAGGAGAATGCAATTTTTTTTAGGTAATCAAAGGAATTTGAAGAGTAAAAGAAAAAAGAAAGTAAAAACCCATCCTAGTCCATACAGGTTCCATCCCTGCTTTAGACAAAAAAACCCCACCCAATAGCCTTGCCCAACTCCAGGTAACATAGCTTCCCACACTCTTTTTTATTTATAAATAACATAGCTTCCCACACTCATCATACCTAACCTAGCACATGTGTTTCTATCATGTAATGTCTTCAAAAGATCAATTAGAACTCAGAACTTGAAGCTTCTAACCTAGGAAGCACAGACACTCCAAAATGGGCGAAGAATCCGTGTCCGACACGAGTCGGACACGCCCCGACTCGTGTCGGACACGCCAAAAATCGTGTCTGGAATTTTTTAATTTTTTTGAATTTTCAGACACGGCACGGACACGGCTCGGACACTGCATGGACACTCCACAGACACAGCATGGACACTCCGCGGACACGGACATAGAGACGACATGGACACTTCTGGAATTTTTTTTTTTTTTTTTTGAATGCTGATATGTTCTTTTTTTTTGTGTTTTGTACTACCCTTTTGGTATTGTAAATGGTAAAAGTCCCAGGTCAAATGATGGATGGGAATAGATGATAGTACACTAACTTGTTTTTGTATCTTTTTTGGGGATTAGCCCCTTTAGGTTTTTGTGAATGTTAAGTGCTAACAGTAAAGTCATGAATGTTAATAGTCCTTTCTGTCTATACTTTTGTATTTGGAGTAAAGTTGCAATGATGATTAAATGATACTAGTTATTATTCTAATGTCTTATTTTTTATTTGGTTTTATAATTCTGCAACATTGTTCTTTTATAGTTTATTAGTTATGAGTTATGATTGTGTTTTTTTTCCATTGTGAGGTTGATGAAAAATAGTAACACTCAGTAATTTTTAAAGTACTACATCATATATATATATATATATATATATATATATATATATATATATATATATATATACTATTCGCCGTGCCCGTGTCCTAATTTTTTTGGATTTGCCGTGTCGCCATGTCGGTGTCATGTCGTATCTGTGTCCCGTATCCGTGTCTATTCTTCTTAGCTTCCAACTCAAATATCTTAAAATTAAAACTCAATATATTAGTTTTGAAGACAAAAGATGCCAAAAAACAATACAACTTATAGCACTTTCTACGGTAAATTAAAAATATTTATTTATTTATTTATCTAGGTTGGACAACCAACCCATATATGACCCAAACCTAACTGGAGAGCAAGCCAATTTTAACCCGATTTTTCTAACCTAAACACCACCTTAGTTTGGATATTTCAAAAATGATTGGGTCAAGTTGGAGAATTTGATATGATGTGTTGTTTATTGATGCGTTGTTTGCTATGTGGGGATTCGTTTGGTGTCCGGGATAGTTTCTCGTTGTTCCGGGAGTTTCCAGACTTTGGTTTTCCTTGGTCAGTTTCGTTATGAGTCGGGTAAGTGGGCCAGAGTTGATGGCCATACGGGCCTGGGGCGAGCCAAGGTGCTCGGGTGTCATCAAGGGCCTAAGTAGAAACTCATTAAGGACCTAGTGGTCATTTGACAAGGATTGTGCTTTAGAGTGATTTTAGAAAGTTGTTGGAGCAACGGGAGTTTTAAAAATAACTTGGGCCAAAAGGGAATTAGAAGAGAGTTGGAAGTATATAAAAGAGGAGTTGGGTGATTGAAGGCCACAAATAGCCCAGCGCCCCCCCACCCCTCCTACTCTCTCTCTCTCTCTCTCTCTCTCTCTCTCTAACCCCATAGATCTAGTTTCTCTCTCTAGAAACGACCCATTTCGGGTCCAAATTTGACGAAGGCACAAGAGGGGAAGTTGTTCAACACGTGATTCTGCACAAGTGTACAGTTCCAGAATTTTGATTTGGGCAACTTCATTTCGGTGGAAGATTTGGGTTTGCTCCAAATTGTGGTAGGGGTGTTTAACTTGCTTGTTCTTAGGTTTTACTAGAGTGATATATGATTTATTTAAATGAAGCATGCTTAGAATGATGAGAAATTACATGATGATGATATGTATATACGTGTGTGTGTGTGTGTGTGTAAATTGATGAAATGAGTTTACATATGGTGGAAATTTGATGTGGGTTTGATATGCTATGGGAGTATAATTGATTTGGATATATTTGATATGTCCTAATGGACTTAAATGCCATGAATCTTACAAAATGATTATGAATGTGTGTTTGATACCACTATATGAGGATGAGTTGCTTAGTTGTTAGCTTTATAATGGAATTAAGAACATTGATGCCTGTGCATGCTTTGTGCTTAACGAAATGTCTATGTGGGAGTAATGCTTTAAAGGATGTGAGATTGATGTTATTTGATGCTTTATTTGAAATGAGAAATCAAATTGGTATATTGTAAATGCTTGTATGCATGGGACATATCATTTCGTAGAAAGGTCAAAAATGCATAGGTGGGTTGTGTGAGACATTGGATGTGTATTGAATTTCATAGTTTGAAACTGATTTGGATTGGATTGGATTGGATTGGATTGGATCGGATTAAATACGAAGGGCCCGGAGCCCTAGGGTTGAATGTCTCAAAACTTGGCCAAGCAAGTGTTGTTTCTGACGGGTTACTAGCCCATAAAGCAAGGGTATGGGTACGGGGCTTCGACACATATTCGGGTGTGTGAGTACGATCAATCCAAGATTTTCATGAAATGGGGTATGACCCCATCATGTGTGAGTTCATCTACATTGCGGTTATTGAAAAGCAATATATGACAATGTAGAACGTTCTGACAAGCTATATTGTAGAATCATTGCAGTTATTGAAAATCAATATATGACAAAGTGGAACTTGTTTTGTCGAGTGATGAACAATTGTTGAAAAGCAGATCCCTTAGGGTTAATTGATTTTAAATACCTATTTGTTGCATGACTTGCATGACCGTAGGGCAGGTAGGTTAGCCATCATCCACTGGGCATAGTTTAGCTCAGCCCATCATTGTACAGGTAAAGGGCATGCCACGGATGCGACTTAGACCTCCTTGGACTATGGGAAATCATTTTTGGGATTTTGATATCAAATGATGTAATTCTGACTTAATTTTATTTTGGGGAAACTTGAGGGAATGAAACTTCATGTAATAGGACATTCTAGCTTATTATCCTTTGTGACTTATATTCGCGGGGAGGGGGTAATGGCAAGGGAACCATTTTATGTTCATTTTGAAGTTCTCTTTGTGATTTCTACCCTAGGTCCCTTATGTATGTAAACTTATTTTGATAGTTTCTTATCTTGCTCAATTCTAGCTTTTCCTTCGCATACCCACCTGCCTTGTGTTTGCATAACTAGCTTTTTATTTTGAAGTTCTCTTATTGATGCCATAAATATCTATTTTTTCCTTCATATATATTGATTGTCTTCAATCTCATATAGTTTAACAATCTGATGCCATTCCTGATTCAATCATTAGTTTTTATGAGGAGTTCGAGGAAAGGATCTTAGTCTATATCAAGATCAGTGTAATGAACAATCTAAGGGTGTTCTCATCTAGAACTAGAAGTTTGACTTGGTGTATAGGCACACGAATTCAATTATAATCAAGTTTCACTTTGGTAAAAAGTTGGTTATGTGCCTCAAATCATTCTGCATAATTCCTGTGAGTAGACTGTATGCAAATCAATTCTGATTGAAAATAGTTTTACAGAAGTGAATATATGATCACCAGACCACTCATGTAACATCCATATTCTTGTGAATTTAAACTCTTAAAGGATGACAGTACTTTACTTGTTTGCATGGGAGCAATATGTATGATATGATGACTGAAAATCTTCATTCATTCCTTCAATCTTACTTGTCTTATACCTTATTGGGTTGAGAATTTCGTCAAGGTAAACCAACAGAAAGAATTTCCCAATACATGTTTAACAAAAGTGTGCATAACCCATCCAAGAGAAAAAAACATAAATCATGTTCTATAGAATATAACTATAAAGAATAAGTAGAAGAAAAATAGGTAAATGGGAAATGTACTTACAAAAAAATATTACTGAATTCTTGACGTTTCAGAAGAACATGATTGCACAATTTGGTGAACCTCTACGAAGCAATTGCAACTTATTCCTCACCTCCTTTTGCTTCTCTATATCTCGGGATGGATTCTTAGAAAGAAAGATATTCATCGTCTCCAAAACAAGTGAATTTTTCAGCAAAAACATTAGCAAACATACTTCTGTACCATTCCCATGAAAATTATGAAGGCTGATTGACTTTAGGCAGGAAAGAAAGCATTTAGGTACCGGGAAAATCCAATCATCTTCAAAAAGTAACATGCGAGGTTCCAGTCCCTAAATGGAGTAATATATCATTTCATAAATATAATATCATGGAGTGATATATCATTTTATAAATATAGGATCATGGAGTAACATACCAATTATTTTTTCCCAATTAATAATATACCATTCAATAATATAGAATCACCAATAAAATAATTGAAGTCAAGGCACTAAGGAATCTACCTCAGCAAAAACAAGGGATTCTAGATTTGGTGAGAACTGGAGAAAGTCCATCAATGCTCGGGAAGTGTGATTGCCAATTTCCATGTTCAACTCTAAATAGGTCAAATTTTGAAATATGGGAAGTTGACCTAGCACATTATCTGCAAGAGAGAGAGACTTTGTGTGGAAAGAAAAAGAAAATCAAGCCTTGGTACCAAAGAATTAGCAAATATGCTTAAAAAACAATACATGGTAAGACGGACTTTATCTTTTTTCCCCTAGATATGTCAACAAAAAATCATGGAGAAATAGCTAAATACCTCAATGGTATCATTAGAAATTCTCAGAAATTTAACATTGTGCAGCCCTCTAAGTAGTTTAACTGCACCATTAGCAATTGCTTTTTTCCTCTCACGCAGAATTGGTATGTGAATATCGGCACTGACCAATGAAGATGGATTATATACAAGAATTTCATTCAATAGGTGACCACTGTACTTCAGAAATTTGAGATTGGTCGCATCAATCTTGATCTCACAACCATTTAGTTCATCTGATGACCCAAAGTAGGGCAAATCATCTATTGTCAAGCTCGTAAGCGTGGGAATAGAAACTGTGATACTCTTCAAATTCATCCATTCACAGTCCAACATAGCCAACTCTTGAAGAACTGGGCAGCTAGAGAATAATTTTTGGGTTGAGTAATCGTCTGGGAATGTAACAAGACACAGGTGCAACGTCTTGAGACATGGAAAAGAAATGTAACTGGGGAGTTCAAGTACACAGTTCATTTCTAATTTCATCACCGTTAGTGTTTCACATTCAAACACACAACGGGGCAGCGCAAAAGGCTTCTCTACAAACAGGCAAAGGTCAAGTTCTTGAATTTTATGCATGATTGCAGCAGAGACCCACACATGAACACGAGATGCACAAAAGCAAACTCGACATGAGAGACGGAACTTTTTCATACTTGACACATCCCGAAGAAGAAGCACCCTTTCCACAAAATTCATGAAGCAAGTCAGCTCGAGTGGACACCAACCATTCACCTCATTTGAATACAGTAATGAATCATCAAAGTCAATGTTGGGAACAGATGTCCAAAGGTACTTCCATCTTGTTGATAATATGCAGGTTGCAACAGCATCTTTGGTGGAAAGAAATGAGAGTATGTGATGAAGAATACAATCAGGCAGATTGCAAATTCTATCTTCACCAACATTATGCACCTCATAAAGCCTCTGCTGTTTATAAGGACCTATCATTTCTCCTCTTTTCCCTTAAATCCCTAAAAGTAAAAAAGGCTGATCAGCAGTCATAAATATTAACATTAAAGCTAATGCCAAAGCAACCCAATTAATAGTTTACTTCCAGAACAACACAACAACCACCGACACCACCCAAAAATTAAAAAACAAAAAAACAACTTTATTGGAAATATAATGGACACACCAAATACAAGTTCCACAAATTCACCCACTAAAAACTGCACTTTTTCAAAATGTAGTTATTGCACTCAATTGGAGATGATCAAGAACACCCTTTACAACAACCAGCAATTTAAAATTTACTTAATAGTTCATATTTACTGAAGTTTGTAGCCTATGAGAAGCAGGGAACTTTGAACCATCCCCTTCAAAAAAAAAAAAAAAAAACCATCAATTTAATATAAGATATGCCTTCCAAATCAACCATTAAGTTTTAATTGAATCTCAACCAATTAAAACCCCTTTATAGAAAAGGGTTTCAAGAGAAACATTACCATTCCCTTCAAATCCCAAACCATATATACACACGGAGACAGGCAAATCAACACCACAGCAAAAGAAATATAGGGAAAAGAACAATCTTTACAGATGAAATTGTTCTTAATAAAGACCAAAACACAAAGAAATCAGAATAGCCACTTAAAACCCATCAAGCTCAATAGTAAGCCATAAACTGCAAACACATAATACATATATAGTTACATAAATAGTTACATATATATATATATATATATATATATAAACACAAAGAAAGAAAGATGGAAGGACCAACCAGGGATCCAGCTATAGAGGGATTAGAAATGCTGGATCGGACAATACAAGACCGACCCCAGAATCAATGTCCTCAAAGATTGCTCATACATGTTTCAGAGGCCACGTGGCTAACTGGGTATAAAGCTTTTTCAACGTTGATCACGAGGAACAAGTGTGAAAATAGAGAACAGACATGGCGGTGGTACGTACCCCTAGAGAGAGTCTACTCGAACCGCCGAGGGAAGAGGAAGCGGGACTGAGGGTTGGATCATAGACTCACGCGGAAATATGTGGCGTGCAGACTACGCTCATACGGAAGCAGTGAATTTCCAATTTTCTCCATGTTTCAACATAAAGCATTTCAGCAGGAAGGGCTAAATTCGTCCTTTAAATATTAGAGCGTGCGAGAGCTCTTGACGGGCGCGTGGAGTAATAGCAGTGTTGGAAAATGGGACTACGATTGCTGAGGCTGAAGTTGAACTAAGAAAAAATCTTTTGCTTTTTATTTTTTCTATAAATGTACTTACACCTCACAGGAGAGAATATTGGGTTTCCCAAGGGTACCCTGCCAGTTTGTCCCACCTGGGATCCCAATCCAATAAAAACACGACAATTGGCTAACTTTCTACATCATCTTCGTACTCAACATGTCACTAACGGAATAGTCGCCAATTTTGTTAAAAATATATATATATTATAAAACCTAAATCATTGAACCGACAGTACGTGGTTGCCCCAAGAGTCGATGATAGAACTTTCAATTCAATCAGAAGATCTATACCTTCTTCGGCATATAACTCACTGAGCCGGATCCAACCGGATTCGAGAGCACCGGGCCGACTGGTGTGTGACTAGACCGCTGTGATCTCCGCCGGAGCTGAACCGAAGACGAAACTGAGCTGGAGACGGAAATCCTACACCACGGTGCTCAGTATACCACCCATACATTTGGCGAAGGCGTTGTCGGCAGGGGCTTCGCAACAGACGACGGAGGATTGACGCCTTTCCACCGCCGATTTACTGGCGGAGACTGGCTCGTCTTGAATGTCTTCTAACACCTTCGCTAATTTTTTCAGCACGTCGATGAAATTCGATAGGCCTTGGCCTGCCACAAGTGTGTCGACAATTCGACGCGCCGATAACCGGCGGTTCACCGTCATTCTTTTCAATGGCAACAACCTCTTGGAATTCACCAAGAGAGCCATAATGGAGAGACGATCGGCGGACGAAAGAGACGACACGATCAATCGCATTGCGCGTTTCATCATCTACAATTTCTCTACCGCCACGCTTCGCTCACATCTAATACTATCACCAAATCGACCGGTGCTCGACGCATCATCTTCTCTGGCGCAGGCAGCGCTCTGACCTTCAAAACTATGGCGTATGTCTCATAACTCCGTCGTACAGATTCAAGCAATTCTCTCATCTGGGTCTCTCTCAATTGCTCCAAAACCTTTAATTCTTGTGGGTCTTTAGCTCAAACTTGTTAGTGAGCCAACTCGGCAAGATCATAAGAAACATTTATGGGCTATCCAAGAGCTCGGCGATGGCTGCTGGTTGGTGGGGCCGGCGATGGTGAAGATGATTCCTCAATCCGAGCAACGCATCGCTTTTGCTAATTTTTTTTTTTTTTAAGGAAGTTGACGCCGTCTCCGTTAATGGCATGTTGAGTAAGAAGCTGAGGTGGAAAGTTAGCCAGGTGGACAAGCTGACGAGGTACTCTTGGGGTACCCAATATTCTCTCCTCACATAGTACTCACATTGTCACACACACACCACACCTGGACTTTATGCCATTACGCTTTTTGAATTAAAAAAAAAAAAAAAACTAGTTAGAACCAAAATTATTACTGAGCATTAGTTTGTTGTGCAGGTATGAAAAGGAATAAAAGGAAATGGAATGACAATGACAATGGAATGTAAGTAGAAATAGCCATTCTTATTCTATTGTTTGATTGTAAATATAAAATATTTAGGAATTAAATGATAATGACCATTCTAGTGTTTAGTTCGACCAATTTAAAATTTAGAAAGGAATAAATTTCTAATTGAATGCTCCAAAATATCCATCTTAATAGCAAATAAATTAAATTAACAAAATGACATTCTCTAATAATTTTTTAAAAATAAATGGTGGCAATGGCGGTTTGGGATGGTGGAAAGTGGTAGTGGTGTTGGAAGGCGGTGGTGGTGGCGACAACGGTGGAAAGTAGGGGCAACGGTGGAAAGTGGTGGCAACGGTGGTGGAAGGTGGTGACGGTGGTGGTGGAAGGCGGTGGCTTTAGTGGTAGTGGTGGCGGTGGTGGTGGTGGTGAAAGGTGGTGGCAGTGGCAGTGGTGGTGGTGGCAGAGGTGAAAGGTGGTAGTGATGGAAGGTGGTGACGGTGGTGGTTATGAAAGCTGGTGGTGGTGGTGGTGTAGGGTGGTGGCGATGGTGGAAGGTGGTGGTGGTAGTAATGAAAAACAATAGGAGTGGTGGTGGTAGAAGGTGGTCGTGGTAGCGGTGGTGGTTACGGCAAACGGTGGTGGTAGCGATGGTAAAAGGCAGTGGCGGTGGTGAAAATTGGTGGGCAATGGTGAAAGTTGGTGACGATGGTGGTAATGGAAGGCAATGGTGATGAAAGGCGAAGGTGATAATGGTGGTTTTTGGACTTGGAACATGAAGGTTTTTTTAGAAGTTGATTTTCTTAAAAAAAAATTATTTAGGAATGGAATGGTCATTCTATAGGTTTAGTTGTGCAATAGATTTTCATTCCAATGGAATGGCCATTCCTACTTTAAATTGCATACCAAACAAAGGAATGGTTGGAATGAGCATTCTATTCCATTACTACACACCAAACATAAGGGTTTTTGGTACTCATTTTATTATATATATATATATATATATATATATATATTTGTCTAGTATTGTTGTAGTAAACAGTAAAAAAAAAAAAAAAAAAAAATCTCGTCTCATAAAAATTATTTTATTTTACAATGTCAAAATATTTCGTGAATAATGGACAAAAATTAAAACGCTAATTTGGTATTGTTGAAATATCTTTATTTTTCTATTAGTTATTTTTAACCTTTTATTAGGTGTTTTATGTAAGATCCCTATAATTATGGGATAAAATAGATTAAGATCTCCATAATCATGGGATTACGTAGATTTTGTCATATTTCCAGTTTTTTTTTTATTTTTTTTATTTGGTTTCTTTTCTTTATACCATATTCTTATATATAAATTATAACTCTTGATTCTTAGTTTGAGTAAAGTCAAAACCGAAAAAAAAAAACTCCTTTTTTTTTTTTTTTTTTTTTTTTTGTATCAAAGCAAAACAAAAAAACATTCACCTCCTCATCTTCTTTCCCCAACGCCGCCACTTTCTCTCTCCCTTACTCCTTTTTCCCTCACCTTCGGCGCACTTCCATCTCCTCCCAACCCTTGACTCATTTTTTAGGAGAATTCTCTCAAGTTTTTTATGACCTAAGGGTCTGTTAGACCAAAAAGGGGGCTAAATTGGTCAATTTTAAATCATTTTTCTTCACACCAAGATAAATGTTCTTCACAGCAAGATAAATGTTGATAAGTAAATACAATGAACACAAGGTATACAAGGAAAAGGGAATAACCTTGATTCTTGGCCTCAGCCATTATAAGCTCCATTAGTTATATGCAAGTAGTTACACATTTAGTTGTCTCACACTCTGCACACAACCTTGTACAAGTTGAAACACTAGTTTTCACAGCCTCTACACACACACTAGCTCAACACAGTGCTCACAAGCACTCCCCGTGTCCTAAGCACCCTTGTTTGGACCCTACAAGCTCTCACAGCTCACCAAAATATATATAAAAGAATGAATATCAATAAAATTCAAGTATACACAAAAGATAAGAGTGGTTGTGTAGCTTAAAACAACAATTTGTATCCTTAGGAACACCTTATGCTAAAACTAGGGTTTGAATGGTAGAATTGGAAATTCGTGTCCCCAAAAATTCTGAGATCAATCCCACAGCGGTGGCTCAAAAACAAAGGTGACTAAAGTTCTGTCCAAAAACCAACTTCAACAGCCTTGATTTATCAAAATAAATTTGTTAGCATGTAGATCAAACATTGTATAGCAAGATATAAACAATCTATGTATGAATCCCAAGGCTAAACCAAAAAATAGTCCAAATCACAACTCTGAGAGGTGAAAATCATTTGCAGCATAGTATGGCTCAAGAATAAGTGCTCAACAAATGTAAATAGCTCAAATATATATGTCTCAACCTTGACTTTGCACCACAGCAACCTCAGGCTCAAAGTGAACATTCAAACTACCCCTTGCACCATCAAAACATGACTGCAAATGGACTTCATAATGAACACAGTAACAAGGATGAATTAAGTGACATTTCTATGAAGATTTTAGGTTCATATCATCATCAAGGACCTTAGAAATTTTGGTTCATATGAAGCTCTCGAGATAAGTTCAATGTAGGTCATTATTAAGGTTTTACAATAGGCTTATTTCTGCAGAAATGGATATCACAATATATATATACTCAAGCATACAATACAAGTCTTATTACAAGAAGGATATACACATGGCACCTGTAGCCAATCATTGGCCAGAGAATGTTCTAACATTCTTTATGTGAATAGATCACAATACCATTGCCAACACAGCTAAATTGTCCTTTAGTGTACCATAAATTACAGCTCACTATATCAAGGCTGTAATATCATTCTTATCCAAGACTTGGTGATTAAGAAATGCAATGTTGTGTATACACTCTCACACTAGGACCACAACAACGTGTCACACACCTGAGCTTTAAGTAGAAAGACCAAAATGCCTTTGTAACAACCACTTGTCATTCTCAGCTTTAATATGTTGCTGAGACTGTACAATTCATAATGCAGGCTAAATCACATTTGTTCAATGCAATGCAGCTATCTGAACAAATTTAAAAACATATAATATAACTGTGAAATGACCATAGTACCCCTAAAAATCCTTGTAGCTAATTTCCATATGTTGAACCTCACACAACAAAGAAAACAGCCTCAACAAGCTGGATAACTATAATATACTATCTTAAATCATTGTGAAATTGTGTCACAAGATGGGGACTATACTATCCTTGAGAGATGATAAAAGCCACTATGCGCAGCAATGGTGATGATATAAGCCACTGTGTACAGCAATGGTGATGAAATAAGCCTTTAACTACTCTGTAACACCAGGTTTTGACGTTAAAAAGGCAAACACCAATTGGTACTTACTAGGACCAATAATCTCCCCTTTTTGCCTTTAATAACAAAAACCTCACAATGAAATAAGAACTAAAAAATGAAGATTCAGTAACACAAGTATATGAATACCACAGTCGCAAATAGATAAATGTAAGCACCAAAACCTTATTCAAGGATGAAAACTATCCTTATTTTAGTCATTCTCTCCCCCTTTTTGATATTAAAGGCCAAAATGTGATAAGGACCAATAATTATAAGCTCAAGAGGGTGG